TGTGGCGTTTGCTGGATTTCGGGGCGCGCGCGACGACGCGCGCGCGCGTTTCGCCCAGTTTTTTCTGTTATTTGCCAGGGTTTCTGGGGACAGGGGCTTTTGCAGATGAAGAAGTGTTCGCGCATGGGGGCTGTCGCGAGGGATGGCGGGAGGGGGGGGGTGCGGGGCGCTGGCCGGGCCGGGGTGGCATGAGTTCATATTTCGAACGAACTACGCGGCATAATCGCACTCAAACTGCACATCCCCAGGGGGGGGGCGGATAAGTTCGGCTTCGGGAGGGCGGTGGACCCAAGGGGGTGGATCCAAATTCCTGTTTACAAAAGAGTATAGGCGGCGCAACCTACGCTGCGCAGTTCACCCTGCCGAACTTGAGGTTTTCCATTGTTCGCGCAATTCCCACCCTTCCTTCCGCGATTTCGTTTGCAAAACCCACCCGGCGGCGACTGCGATGATTGAGCGTCGCTGGCTGGCGCGTCGCCGCGGCCGTGCTAGCACGCGCAGGCTCGCGCCTGCAGCCGGCTAGTCTGGGGCGACCGACGCGGCCGCGGTGGCGCTGACCGCAGGGGAATTCCCAGCGCAGCGCGTCTCGCAGGCCGCGCCGACGCGCCAGCACGTTAGTGCGAGCCGGCGGCTTGGGCGGGCGCGGCATCGTGGCGACGCCGGCGACGGCGGACAAAACGATGGCAGTCGCGATGTTGGCGACGATGGCGACAGTGACGACGGCCAGGCCAATGACGGCGACGATGCTGATCGCGCCGATGACGACGATGGCGTCCATGCGTCGGCGACGGGAGTCCTGGAGGGGATTACGACGCGCGCGCGCGCGGACGGCTCGCGCGAGTGGCCCGCGCGGTGCTATTTGACAGGGGCCGCGCCCCCCCCCCGTGGCAAGCGCGCGGGCGTTCGATGGATTTCGACGCGCGCGCGAGGGGCCCGTTTGGTCGAACACGATGAAAACGTCAATCAAATCAGTTTCCTGAGGATTCGCAAAATCGCGCGCGTATTTCTTAGGGAAAATCACGTTGCAACGCCACTGTTTCTTGTTATTCTCATGTTTTCTTGACCCTCGTTCTTGGAATCCTTGCTGAATCACCCGTTGTTGAATGAATCCGGCGCGCGCGACAGACGTTGCGCGAGCGTGGACGTGTTTTGCGTGCTCCAAGGAGCGTTTGCGAGTGTTTGATTTGCGATAAACAAGCGCGCGTCCTATTATTTGACGAGGATCAGGGATTCGGCGCTGGCCTCGCCAGGGTGGCGCGAGTCTTTATGCTGAACGAACGATGGACCAGAATGTTATGCATGTTGCATTATCCGATGCCAAACCGACCATTCCGGGGGGGGGGACCCTGACGAGCAAGGGGGTGTAGGTGGTCCAATCTACGTTGCGCAATCTAGGTTGCGCTATATATATATATATATATATATATATATATATATATATATATGTGTGTGTGTGTGTGTGTGTTGTGCGGCTGTTATTTCGCAGTGTGCGCGGTGCAATAAATTGTGTGTTATACATGTTGTGTTAATTGCGTTGAGCAATGTAAAGGTTGCACAGCCTATGTGGCGCAAGTAAGCAATGCTCATCAGTCAGTTGCCAACCCCACTGCTCGCGCATTCATTCCACCCGCCCGCCCGCAACGCAGTTTGCAAGACCCATGCGGCCGCATTTGCGATGACTGCAACGCGTTGGTTGGCGCATCGCTGGGGCCGCACGCGCGGGCTCGCGCGCAGAGCGGCCAGCTTGCCTGTCGCGGCAGACGCAGCCGCGTTGGCGCTGACCGCCGGGGACCTCCCGGCGCGCTTCGCAGGCCGCGCTGGCGCGCGGGCACTCTGATGCGCATCGGTGGCTCGGGCGAGCACGGCTTCGCGGCGACGTCGGCAACGGCGGGCATGATGATAGTAGCGACGTTGGTGACGATGGCGACAACGCCGATGCTTGTCACGCCAACTACAACGATGGCGCCCACGCCCCGGCGACGAGAGTTTCGAGCGGATTTCGGCGCACGCGCGGCCGACGGGCGCGAGTGGGCCGCATGGTGTTTTCTGACATGGATCGCGCCCTCCCCCCCCCGCCTCGCTTCCCCAGCAAACGCGCGAGGGCGCTCGCATGATTTCGACATGCGCGCGCGAGGGCCCGCTTGGTCGCATGTGATGAAACATTTGAATGTGCACAGTGAGCTTTCGCAAGTACAGGCTCGCGCATATTGCATTTGAACAGTCACGCTGCAACGTCAAACGTTTTTACATGTGTTCGGCGCGCTCGATCTTGAAATCCTTACGCAACCAAGCGTTTTTGAAATATTGCGGCATGCGCGTGCGACGACGCGCGCGGGTCGACTTTGCCCCACTTCTTGCACATGATGGTTGAAAACTGTTGCGTTTTGATGAGTGATCGCGCGTGCAACATGTGATTTGGGAGGGATGAGATGGGGGGGCCGGGGGCGATGGCGGCACTCCCAGGGATTGTACGAATTCGTATTCAGGATGAGTGGTGGGGCAAAAAGATATTTGTAAATCGTTTTTTCCCCAGGGAGGGTAGATCAAGTCAGGGGGGCAGGGGGGTGTACGTACGAGATTTTTAAAGGAAAATATGCGCTTTGCAACCTGCGTAACGCAATGCAGCACTGGTGACTAGTGGGTTGTCAATTCCACTGCCCGCGCAATCATCCAACCCGCCCACCCGCCCACTGGTTTGCAAAACCCATGCGGCGGTAATTGCGATGACAGGCTGGTGCTGGCTGGCGCATCGCCGCGGCTTCGCCAGCGAGCGCAGGCTCGCGCGCAGAGCGGCCAGCTAGTCTGTCGCGACCCACGCGGCCGCGGTGGCGCTGGCCGTTTGGGACTTCCCATTGCGTCTTGCAGGCCGCGCTGACGGGGGAAGAGGCGGAGGAGGATGAGGAGGAGGAGGAGGAGGAGGAGAAAGAGGAGGAAGAGGAGGAGGAGGAGGAGGAGGAGGAGGAGGAAAACGAGGAGGAGGAGGAGGAGGAGCACGAGGAGGAGGAAGAGAAGGAGGACCAGGCGCGGTCTGGGTACTCTTCTCTTGCATGGCAGGGGATGGTACCAGTCGCCGGGATGGTGGACGCCTCTGGGGGGGCTCTATGTGCAGGGGGACAGGCCCACATGCTTCCCACCTCGGCCAATGTGGCCGGCCACTTCTGGCGACACTGGCCACCCCTGCCACTCCCCGGAAGGCCCAACTTTTCCGCAAGGTGGGTGGAACCACCCCAGGCGGCCCCGAGGTCAATGTACTGGGAGCCCCACGTTTGCTTGCAGGTGAAGAATCCCGTCTTTGACCTGGGGGACGCTTGCGGAGTGTTCCTACGAGCAGAGGGGGAGGCCGTTGGGCCTTCCTACTTTGGCGAGTGTCGCCGTGGCCCGCCACCTCCACCCACTGCTTCATGCCAGCTTCACACCGCCACTGCCGCCCACTGTCCTCGCCGCTGAGTGAAACGTGGCCACCTTCCCCACCTCGTTTCCTCGGCTTATTCATATTCCTCGCTCCCCTCACCTCTCTATCCTCTCATTCTGTCCGTCTGTCCTTCCCTGTCCTCTTGTGTGTTTCACTTCCCCCACGCGTAAAATCATCACGCCGGACGCAAGAGTCCCCTGGAGCGGTGCTCCAGGTTCACATGGCCGTAGTTTGATCAACCCCTCTCAGGGCCGGCCGGCGAACATTCCCGCCGCCAACTGCCAGGTGCCAGGAGGAGCAGGGGAGGAGGACAGCTGTGGAGGAGAAGGGGGGCTGCCGAGGAGGGTGGGGGGCACAGGCGGAGCCGGGGGGAGGGGGGCGGCGAGGGAGGTCCTCGCCCTTCCCTCGCCGCCCGCCACTGCCCCCCTGTGGGCAGGTGCGGCTCCTGGGGGCTCCCTCCGCGGCGAGCGCGAGCGCCGGGGAGCCGAGGGCGTCGCCGCCGAGGTTCACGGGAGGCGCGCCGTCCGCAGGGGGGGGGGGGGGGCGCCCGCCGCCGCGGCCTCTGGCGGACGCCGCGGGGCGCGCGCGGTCGGCCGGACTGGGCCGTTGCTCGGCGGCCCGCAGGCGGGCCGGGGGCACATGCCTCCTGTCGTCTCTCCTCCTCCTCCTCCTCCTCCTCCTCCTCCTCCTCCTCCTCCTCCTCCTCCTCCTCCTCCTCCTCCTCTTTTTCCTCCTCCTCCTCCTCCTCCTCCCCCAAAAAGGGCACATCAGTTACGAAGCGCTTGAAGCTGTTTGACGCCACAGTTTCAAAAACTATGCTGTGGTGCTCGGAATCATGGAAACTGACGGTTGCCCAAAAAAGAAAACTCAGAAGCGTCCAGAGATCAATGTTGAGGCGGATGGTGGGCCCGGGATGAAGACCAGACGAGGATTACATCTCTTGGATACGAAGGGCGACGCGGACAGCAGACCACAGAGCACGGGAAGCAGGTGTAGCGTGTTGGACGGAATCTTTTCTACGGAGCAGGTGGCGTTGGGCCAGAAAGATTGCAAATATGTCGCCAGAGAGGTGGGCAAAAAAGACAACTGATTGGCGTAACCATGATTGGTGGTCAAACCAGTCGCGGAGCACTCTGACTTGCCCTACCCGGTCTCGGCCAGGACGGTTCGTCCGGTGGGAAGATGACATTGTTTCTTTCGGCAAAAACAAAGGTTGGGCATCGTGGAGCGAGATGGCCAAACTACCTGAGACATGGCAAACTTTTGAGGACGAGTACGTTAAACACACGTGGCGTTAATTTCATTTTCATGGCATTCGCATAGTTGCTCTGCTTATCGTCATCTGTCGTCGTCATCGGTTTATCTTCATCATCTTGCGGGGAGCATTTGGTTTCTTCGCAGCGGCGTTTGGCTGCATGTAACCGCTTCACACCTGATGAGCAAACTGGCCTTCCTGGAGGCCAGCGCGTTTGGCGCGCCTGCCACCCTTGTAGGGTCGCCGGACTACCGGCGACGGCAGCTTCGTTCGTTCGTTCGTTCCTCCTCCTCCCCCTCATCCTTCTCCACCGCCTCCTCCTCCTCCTCCTCCTCCTCCTCCTCCTCCTCCTCCTCCCCCTCGTCTTCCTCTGTCTCATCATATTTTTCTTTCTCATCCTCGTCTTCCTCTTCCTTCTCCTCCTCCCCCTCATCCACATCCTCATCCTTATCCTCCTCCTTACCCTCTTCCCCCTCATTGCCCTCAGCATCATCATCATCAGCATCATCATCAGCAGCAGCATCATCAACATCAACATCATCATCATCATCATCATGTTGATGTTCCTCTTCCTCCTCCTCTTCCTCCTCCTCTTGCTCTTTCTTTGTTCCTCCTCGTCCTTCTCCTTCTCCTCTACATTCTCCTTTTCCTCCTCCTCTTCCTCCTCCTGATCCTCATCTTTCTCCTCTTCGTTATATGTCTCTCGCTCTTCCTCGTTGTCCTCCTCGTCCTCCTCCTTTTCCTCATCATAGAATTCCGTTCCCTTTTCCCCTTTATCCTCCTGGCCCTTCTTGTTTTCCTCCTCCTCCTCGTCATCATCATCATCATCATCGTCATCATCATCCTCATCATCATCATCATCATCATCATCATCATCATCATCATCTTTCTCTGCCTCTTACTCATCAGCTGCCTCTTTCTCTTCCCATTTCTCCTCCTCGTCCTCCTCATCATCTTCCTCTTCTCGTTACTGTTCCACCTCCTCATCCTCCGCCTCCTCTTCCTCTTCCTCTCCCTTTTCCTCCTTAGCATCATCAGCATCACCATCTCCATCAGTATGTTTATATATTCGTTTTCCTCTTCTTCCCCCTCCGCCGTATCCGCGTTGGCTCAAACAATTTTGGCTCAAGCGCTCTGAGAAGAGATTGGTTCGACTGGACAGGCCAGTGTATCGACCTTGCTTGCATGCCCAAGAGCGAGCCATTCACAGTGTGAAGTGAGAGCTGCGGACGCTGGGTCCCCAACTGGCGTCTGAACAATTTGGGAGGTGCCAGCGCGGTGCGTGGCTGGTGCCCTTCTCCGCAGCCGCGGCCGAGGAGCCGTGGCGCGAACAGCGATGGCCTGCTGGTGGACGTTGGAAGGCGGTCGATGCTGGCATCCTCTGCGGCTCCATGCCAGACAGAAGCCCCCGCCAGCAGCCGCCCAGCCGCCCAAGGACCTGTGACAGGTCCTCTCCCAGGCGAAGGTGGCACAGCAGCGCAAGGCCAAAGAGCTGGTCAAGGCCGAGGTTGAACTGCAGGCCAAGGAGCAGGCTCTACAGCGAGCCGCGGTGCTGCGGGACAAGCTTTTCGAGTAAGCCTACGAGGCCATCCAGGACCGCGAGCTGGTATCGGAGGCATACCGCAAGGCCAGTACTGGCCACGGGCAGAAGGCAGCCGCCGTGGAGTCAGTTCTCGATTTCGAGGTGGATCAGCAGCTGCTGCAGGACCTCGACGAATATGAGGACGGCGCAGTCAAGGAGGAGATCTCGGCCTTCCGCACCAAGCTCAAGGACGTCCAGGGAGCGGGGCGGGCAGCCTTGCAAGCGCGCCGTGAGCAGTTGGCTCGCCATGCTGAGGAGGACCAGCGACTTCACGAGCAGGCGGCAAATCACCGGGGGGCGCCCCTGGACAAGATGGGGAGGCCGCGCAAGACCTTGTCGACACTCGAGAAGAGGAAGGTCCGGGACGGGGCGGGCGCCGCGGCCCCTCGGGTAGCCGCGCAAGAGGAGCCAGAGCCTGCGACGCCACCACAGCAGGAGCCTGCCCCACTACCGGCGGAGGAGCGCCAAGCTTGAGCCGAGGGCATCGACGGCCTCAAGCGCACCACCCAAGAGGGGGTCAGCGCCAAGTGGCTGGGCGCCGCCAAGGGGGCTGCCGATGGCCGGGCCAAGGCTGGCAAGGCGGCTGCTGGTGCTGGGGCTGTTGATCGGGGCGATGCTGCCCCCGCTCCTGGGGCGCCCTCCTCGCGCGGCCCTGGGCAGCGCCCCATTTCGGGAAAGCCACCGGGTGGGGGGGCAAGATCACGCAGTTCACCAGAGCTCCCCCTGGGAGGGCGCGCGGCTTCCTCGTCGCAGAGACGCGCGCGCGCAGCCGGGGTAAGTTGGACCACTGGGGGGGCCGGCTCCAGAAGGACGGGTGGGAGATGGCGACCATCGGCAACACCCAAACATACTTATACTACATGTGCGTCGCCCCCCCAGGGGCGACGCGCGCACCGAGAAATCTTATAGTATATGCGTCGTGGCGGGTGCTTCCTGGCCACACCGCTCGGGAAACGATATACTACAAGATGGGTATACTATATGTTCGGGTCGGACGCGCGCCTCCAAGGAGGACATATAGTATTAGTATGTCCATGTGCGTCCCAGACCACCCCCGCGGGGCCATCGACGAAGTCCGAGAAGGGCACGAGAGAAGACGAGTGGGTACTGATGCGGTGCCACTTGGCGACGGCTTCCCACGAGGCGCAGCGCGCGGCTGCCCCCTGAAACAGCTTCAGCTCGATGGCGCTGCACTTGTGCTCGGGCCATGTGAGTGCTTGAAGATGCTCGCGCCGCAGGCCCTGCCAACCCGACAGAGGCCCAAGAAGGCGCCTGACCCCGACATCAAAAGGCCACGGCGCATGGCGGCGGAGCAGGGGTGGAAGCAGTCGCAGGGGCAACAGGCGACGCCCCCGGGCCTTGGCCTGCATCCCCCGCGACCTGTCGGCCTGGATGCGCAGCGGGCAATGGCGCTGGGAGGCGGAGGCCCACCCTCGGCAGAACCCCGGCTGCCTCCCCACCCCGGGGGCGGCGCTGCAGCGCAGGGGAGCGCCAACGAAGAGGGAGCGGGCAGGCAGCGATCGTGCGCGGCGGCCGCCGCGACGCCAGGGGAGCCCTCGTCAACGCGCGCGGCGCCATCGACGGCGTCAGCCTCCACGCGAGCGACTTCGGGGTTGACGTCGCGGCCCCCCCTGGAGCGGAACAGTCGCTTGTGCCCCCAGAGCTGAGCGGAGGTGACACGCGCGCCCCTGGAAACGCCGGAGGTGCCGATGTGCACGGGGGTGGCTCGTTCAGGGGAGGCGAAGACCATGGCGTAGTGGGGGGTCACGGGGGCTACCATCACAGCGCACATGGCTCGGAGATGAAGCTGGATCGAGTCGACTGGGGCGGTTAAGGACCTGGCGGAGCGGAGAGCCGCGGGGACTACCATCGCCGCGCGCGGGGTCAGGAGTCGCCGCTGGGCCGCGAGGCCCGCGGGCACCTCGCGCCCCCGCTGTCGGGCGCCAGCATGGGCGGGGAAGGCCGCCCGTTCGAGGAGACCGACGGCCCAGGCGAAGGGAAGGACTTGCCAGGGCTGGTCGCGCCATCACTTGGATCGACGCGCGCGGCTTCGAGGTCGACGACGAGGCTTCCCGCTGGGGAAGAGGGGCCGCAGGTACTTCCAGAGCTGCGCGAAAGGCGATCTACTTGCTTGCGGGGGCGCTGGAGGCACCGGAGTGCATGGGGGCGCGCATGTGGCAGGGGCTGGCAGTTCGAGACCGAGCCAGGGATCCATGCGGAATCGTAGATTGCTAATTCGGGTAGCTGTGGCTGAAGGTCCGAGCGCGAGGCGCCCCTCGCCGCGCGCCGAGGCGCCCGCGAGGCGCCCCTCGCCGCGCGCCGAGGCCCGCGGGCGCCTCGCCCCCCCCCCCCCCCCGCTGGGCACCAACATGGACGAGAACTGCGACCCGTTCGGGGAGAACGGTAAGATAGGCGAAGGCGTGACCTCGCCAACGGAGGCCGTGCCATCGTCGACCGGCCTCAGCAAGAGCGGCTCCGAGGTCGACGACGAGGCACCTCCCTCAAGGGGAGGGGCCGCGCGTGCCTCTAGAGCAGCGCGGAGGTGATCCACGTGCCCCTGGAGATGTCTGGAGGCACAGAGGCCGTCGCAGAGGTGCAGGGAAGTGCAAATGTGGCACTGACTGACAGTTCGCTACCGAGCCGGGGATCGATTTGGAATCGTACATTACCAATTCATGATGAGGTGGCTGAGCGTCCGCGCGCGAGGCCCCCCCTCGCCGCGCAGCGGGGCCAACGGGCGCCGGCGGCACCTGCGGGGCGCCGACGTGGACGGCGGGCGCGGCCCGTTCGATGACATCGCAGAGGACGAGTACTGCAGAGACGAGGAGGAGCAGCAGCGGGCGCTGCCGCTGGTGCGCGCGCAGGCCTCACAGGCTCTCGCATCGGAGCCTCCAAGTGCAAGTCCACCTGCGCAAGCGGATGGTTGCCCTACTGAAGGGTCCCCGGCGGGGCCCGCGCCTCGAGGCGCCGCGGATGCGACGGCCGTGGCGGGGTCTGGCCGCCCCGCGATGGACGGCGAGCACGAGCGCGCGGCTGCGGGAATTTTGCACGCGGATTGTGCTCTGCGGGCGAACGGCGACGGCATGCTGGGCAGCAGGAGCGAAGGGCGGCGACGCAGCCAGGGCGGACGGCCAGAGGGCAGCTCAGGGGGCACCCAACGGCCCCGCCCCCAAGGCAGGCACAGCCCGCCGACCGCTCTGACGGCAGGCAGACCCACCAGGCTCGAAGTGCAAACCGCAGCGGGCGCTTTGCACGCGGCCTGTGTTCCGCGGGAGAACGGCGACGGCATGCTGGACAGGTACGATGGCCAGCGGCGAGGGCAGGCCGGACAGCCAGGGAGCAGCTCAGGGAGCACCCGGCGGCTCCGCCCCAAAGGCAGGCACAGCCCGCCGACCGCTTCAAACGCAGGCATGACCACCAGGGGCAAGGAGGGCGAGCTGTCACTGACAGTGGCTAGTGAGGTCAGCCAGATCGGCGACGACCTGAAGGGGCAGAACGCCACGCAGGAGAGCGTGGCCTTCGCAATCGCAGAGGGGGAGCGGGTGCGAGAGTGGAGTAGGGCTGCAACAGCACAGCCAGCGCAAGCGCGCCATGCCCACCGATCACCCGTTGCAGGCCTGCCCTCCGTACTGACAGCGAGGCCTGCCAGGCCTTGTCCCAGAGGTCCGCCAGGTCGGTCGATTTGCTCGGAGGAGGTTATTATCCAACGCGAAGGGCCCCATGGGCCGCAAGCTGAAGCAACCCGAGGCCGTGCTCAAGACGCGCGGTACGTCGCCCAGCTGGCCAGGGCGACCGTCGGGCGCGCTTACTGCGCCAACCCTGGTGGGCAATCGTGCCGCTGGCCACAGGGGGGGCACGCGCGCTGACCAAGAACGGCACCGACCCCAGGCACGCCAAGCGCAGCCGCGACACTGTGGTCGCCAAGGCTGGGGAGCACGGCATCCACGCTGACGCGAGCCTCGCCAGGACCACGAAGTACTTCGGCAGGAGGCATGCCCCCGAGGAGGTGGCGAGACAACTGCTGCATCGTATCCACGACCTGAGCATCGAGGACCTAGAGCAGTTCAATGTCGCCACGGCCCGCTGGGCTGCGCGCGCTGCCGGCTGGGCGCGGGCCCAGGCAGGATGCCAGCGCGCCAAGTGGGTCAGCACCACGCGGAAGACGGCGCAGGGGCTCGCCCACAAGCAGGCCAAGGGCGACAAGCCAGTGGCCCTCGAGACCGTCCTGCCTGGCGAGGCGGTGGCCGACCCTATGCTGCAGGTGAAGCTGCGCGCGGCCGCGCGGGATGCGGCGTGGCGATCGCCCTCCTCTGATGAGGGAAACTCGAGCATTGGCTCCAGCGCGCGGCAGCCCGAGCGCAGGAGGGGGAGGAGCTGGAGGAGCACGCCGCGCAGGGCGTGACGCAGGCGTTGCTGGCCATCCCCGTCAGGAAAGCGATGGGCGTAGACGCTCTGCGCAGCTCGGATATCTCGCGTCTACCTGACGTCGCGGTGCAGGCATGGGTGGACATGATGAACCAGGTTGAGCAGGATTTGGCGTGGCCGATGCACGCGCTCACTACCGCCCTGGCCCTCCTGCCAAGGTCCCGAGGCGGTGGCCGCACGATAGGCATCCTGACACTGCTGAACAAGGGCCGGTCGAAGGCGCGCGTCTCCGCTACGGACGCCTGGTCCGGCGACCTCGAGCACTACCCGGGCGCCGCAAGCAGTGGCAGCAGCGCACTGCGCGCTGCCCTCTGTAGGTCCATCATCGACGAGAGCGCGGCGGTCATGGGCTTCTGCGCCCTCGAGGCCACGATGGACCTGGAGAAATTTGTCGACGGCATCGACCTCATCCTGTTGCTGGAGGTTGCGAAGCAGGAGGCGTTCCCCGCCACGGCCATCTCATAGGAGGCCCTGGCCTCCCTTGCGCCGAGGCGGCTGCGACAGCATGGATGCACTGGCGGGGCCATCGAGGCGGAGCGCTCCATCGTGGCAGGCAGCAACCAGGGCGTGAAGGTGGCCAAGATGTTCCTGCGCCCGTTGCTACTTGCGGCCAGCGCGGGCGCCCCCCGCTGTCCGCATGAGCGCCTTCGTCGACGACGCCATCTTTCGCGCGGAGGCGAAGTAGCAGGCGGCAATTGACAGCACGGGCGACGCCATGAAGACATTCGCCAAGCAGTGCGAGGCCGACAATACGACGTTATCGTCCAAGTCCAAGTCCGTCGTAGCATCCTCTGACAACGACGCGGCGAGGAAGGCTGCGCACGAGGCCAGACTCCAAGGTGCACCAGCGGCAGCGGCCAGCCACGCTGTTGATTTCGGAGTGGGCACCACGGCGGGCAGGAGGCGCACCAAGGCCAAAGCCAAGCAGCGAGGCAGAGCACTGACAAGGCGCATCCAGGGCATCCATCATGACAAAGCGAACCCAGCTGGGCAAGCATGCCGCCGAGCTGCATCGCACAGGAGCTCAGCCTGCGCTGGTCTACGGCCACAAGATCCTCGGAACGGCGTTCATGATCGTCTTGAGACTGCGCCGGTTGGCCGCGAGCGCCGTCGCTGGCAGGTGCTTCGGTGGATGTTTGAATGCCACCCTCGCCGTGCTCCAGGACGGCAGCGATGCTGGCCTGGCTCTGCCTCGGCAGCTACTGGCAGAATGGTTGCAGGCACCCTGAGCACCATCGTCGAGTGGAGCGGGCCTGGCGCACGCTGCACGCTGGCCTCAAGGGCCGACCACTTGCCAAGAGATGGGCCAAGGTCAAGGGAGCCATCTCGACGGTCATCTGCACGCCCTTCACAATCGGCTGGGACGTTCTTCAGGCGACGGAGCGGGAGTTGGGCGTTTGCGAGCTTTGGAGAATGAGCAACCTTGAAGAGGTGGATGATACCGAGCTCCTCGATGCGATAGGTGGCGGCATAAAACGCGCCTGGCGGACGAGAGGCTCGCTGCACGGAGCAGGCATTGGTCTTCAAGACGGCGTTGCCTAACACCAAGTACGGCGGCAGTCGGCTCGTCTTCAGAGAGATGGAAAGCATTCCATGTGGGCGCTTCTGTTACAAGTGGTTGCTGGAGAGTCGTGGCCGCGCGTTCGGCAACATGCTAGAGGCCTTGCAGATGACAATATTTGTCCACGCTGCGGTCAGCAGGAAACGCTCTGTCACCGTTTATGGTCATGCCCGTGCAACGCGAACCACGCCGGTTACACCCCCGCGCAGGGTTTGCTGCCGCGCGCGCTCGAAAGGCATGCGCGGACGCCCCGCCTGTGACTACGCGGGGCGCCACCTGCAAGCTGGACCAGGTCCACGTACCCAGAGGGCACCACTGATTTCGAGAGGCGCACTGGCGACTTGCAGGCCGTGGACATTCAACGGCACTGGAACGGCTACTTCGACGTGTTCGGCGACGGCCCAGGCGGCAAGCACAGCGACGACCTCAGGCTACGCCAGCGCGGAGTCGGGGTCTCCATCCTGACGGCGTTCACCGAGGTGGCAGGCATCATGGCAGGCCTGCCTGGACGTCGGCAGACGGTGCCTCGCGCGGAGCTGTTCACATTCATCCTGTCCCTGCGCAGCACCAGCGGCCCCTTTGCGGCACTGCGCCGACAACGCGCCGCCTGTCCATGGATGGGCCCGTTGGGAGCACTTGGCCCCGCGAGGGCCACATGCTGACTCGTAGCTCGCCGTGCGAGCGGAGCTGACAAAAAAGGGAGTGAGTGATGTGCGGATCCTGTTTCTTCGCAGCCATCAAGCGGATGAGCTGACGGTTCACGAGGTCCCCTACCAGCTGTTGCAAATTGCGGGCAACGGTTGTGCCGATCTGAACGCGGGTGAAGTTGCTGCCAGGGTCCTGCGTAAAGCCACCGTGAATCCCGAGGTCGGACGCATTGATGCGGTCGCCAAAGGGGCACGTCCAGTTAAGCAGGCCCTGCTGACTGCCTCGTCGCACCACCACTTGGAGAGGGTGGGTGCCTGGAGGTATTGCAGGAGATCTGTGGTGGCACGGCCTTGCATGCGGACCTGGAGTGGTTTGTTCAGTCCGAGTGCAGGCCCGCTCAGTATGCTAGAGCAGGAGCTGTGTGCATCCATCGCGGCGGGACGGGAGCGGGTGGGATTTCGTCGTCGTCGTCGCTGAGGGTCGGCGTCGTCGTCGTCGCTGAGTGTGGGAGGGAAGCTCTGCATGGCACGCACGTCCTCGTTTATGTCGATTATATGAATACCACGGTGTGTAGCCGCTGCAGGTGCTATGCCAGTATATCTGCTGACAGCTTGGCGCTGGAATGTCTCCAGCTGGGACGGCCCAGTACGGCTAGAGGCAAGCACAAGATTGGCAGAGTTGACCAGGGTTTGTGGCCGCCCCCCAAGGGATGCCCACAAAGATCCGCGAGGCGCTGCATCTGAGAGATGCGCAGCGCGCGATGGCCGAGGCCAGTAGCAGAGTAGCACAGTTGGGTGCCCGTACGCTGTACGTATCAGGCAATCCCTCCAGGGAATCATCTTCCTCCTCGTCTGCTTCCTCCTCCTCTCCCTCCTCTTCCTCTTCCTCCTCCTCTTCCTCCTCCTCCTCCTCCTCCTCCTTCTCCTCCTCCTTCTCCTTCTCCTCCTTCTCCTTCTCTTCCTCCTCCTCTTCCTCCTCCTCCGCCTCTCCCTCCTCCTGTCTGCACTGCGCCGTGGCCTGGCGCGCGCCCGCCGTCCCAGGGCGCGGGTCAATCCCTCCGCCTCGATTCGGGTTCGAGTCCGATATATATATATATATATATATATATATATACATATATATAGACATATACACATGTATATATGCATAAATGTACCTATCCATAGATGTATATATGTATAGATACGTACATATACATGTACATATGCATATACATGTATAAATATATACATATACCATTTCCGTGTCGAATCAACGGCGGATTCCGATTCGGATCCCGGTGTCTCGATGGAGGCCTTACTGGCCTGCCGATGGCAGCCGATTCGACTCCTCCCGGCGCGGCTGCCGATTTCCGCCGATCCGACTCGTGTCGATCGCCGATCCGCCCTATCGATGCGCCTCGGGGCTATCCTGCCGCCCTGGCAGTGCGAAGGCGGCCAAGAGCGGCCGTCGCAAGTCCGTTTCCCCATGGGTCTGAGTCAGCGGTTGCGGTCCGCGGGCCAGGGCGCAGCGGTCAAGAGTGCCTTCGGTGGAAGTCATTTGTCGCCGTGCCGTTTGTTCAGGCGTGTTGCCTTCCATATTGGGGAGGGCGCCGCGGCCACCAGGGCAAACGCCGCCTCGGACGCGGTGCCGGCGTCGTCTGCCTGGGGCGCGGGACGCAGGGTTTGCTGTGGGTTTGCCGTGGTGTCGGCGTCGTCCACTTGGGCGCATCGAGAGCAAACGGCGCGGCGCCACATGATGATGCCAGCACTGGTAATTCCAGTGGGGGGTTGCACCACGAAGCTCATACGGTCGGCAATTTTTGGTCAGCGTGTCGCTCCGCCGGTTCTGGCCCACCACGTTCCGGCGCGAGACGCCATCCACATCCTGGCCCCCAGGCGTCAACGTTCCAAGCCTTTCCCAGCCCCCCGCCCCGCGGAGCAGAGCGACACGCTATCAGCTCGCCAGGCATAGCGTGTCGCCGGGGCCGCCGCCGCGACACGCTGAGCGAGAGTTGCTGACAGTGAGAGGGGAGCGATCGCAACCCTCCCAGACGGGCAGCGTCAGACCCCCCCAGACCAGTCATGAAAGGGCGGCCTTTTGCCCAACCCAGAAGCCTCCAAGGCAGCTCCAATCAGACCCCCAAGCAAAAATCTAGGCCTCCTGAGTGGGGTCCGAGTAGATGGGGTCGAAGGATCGCCCTGCATCGACGATACATCCACGATGCGGCTCGATGCGGAGCCATCTAGGAGGCCTCTGCCAAATCAGGCCCCCCAAAAGGCTTCCCAGAAAGTTGCTTCCTTGGCAACGGCAAGTGCGTTCGGAGAATTGTGCACCAGCGTGAACCAGTTGCCAGACTCGGAATCCAAATTAGCCCCCCCTCTTGACTCGGAATCGGAATTCAAATCAGACCACCCTTCCCTCGGAATCTGACTCGCAGTCCAATCCCCTCCAGCAAAGCTACCAGCTGGACTCGGAATCCAAATCATACCATCCCCTCCCCCCCTGGAACGCATCACGGCGGGAGGGTCTCGCTGAGTGGTCGGCTTCCGGGGGCCCGCAGGCGTCGAAGGATCGCCCCGCATCGACGATGCGTCTCGATAACCGAATGCCGCGGATAATAAACACACAGGGATAATAAAGTTCGGGGGCTTCGGGGAGATAATAAAAGTTGCCCGCCAGAGCCAGCATAAGAGATATCAAGAGGAAAAAGCCAAAGATATCTTGAGGATCCTTGTTCTTTGGTTCTCTATGAGACATCCTCAACAATGATTTGTCTCGGTTGAGACATCCTCAACGAATTGCTTGTTTCGCTTGAGACATCCTCGAAATATCTGTTTCGCTTGAGACATATTCAAAGTATTGCTTATTTCACTTGAGACATCCTTGATGAGGAGGAAGAGGAGGTAGAGGAGGAAGAGGAGGAAGAGGATGAGAAGGAGGAGAAAGAGCAAGAGGAGGAGAGAAGAACGAGGAAGCAGCAATCCAAAGTTCAAAACTTATTCTATGTACTTTGTAGACGCTTAATGGAAATTAAAATTTTCATCTGCTCGTGTAGGGGTAGCTCATGTGCTTAGTTTCCCCAGGATAATCAACCCCAGCGATAAACAAGTTCAGGGGGCCAGGGAGACATGAAGAAAAATAAATAGAAAGAGAACTATAAAGAAAGAAGAAAAGGAAGAGGAGAAGGATGAGAAGGAGGAAGAGCAGGAGAAGCAGAGCAGGAGGTAGAAGCACAAATCCAAAGTTGAAAACTTCTTAGATTTAATGTGTAAACGCTTAATGAAAAGTATATGTTCATCTGCTCGTGTAGGGTAGCTCATGTGCTTAGTTTTCCCCGGATAATCAACCCCAGCGATAAACAAGTTCGCTTGAGACATCCTCAAATAATTGCTGGTTCCGCTTGAGACATCCTTGAAATATTGATCGTTTGGTTTTAGGCTGCCTCCAAAAATTATTGGTTTCGCTTGAGACATAGTAGGTAGTAGGTACTAGGTAGTAGGTATCAGGTATCAGGTACCAGGTACCAGGTACCAGGTACCAGGTAGTAGGTAGTAGGTAGTAGTAGTAGTAGTAGTAGTAGTAGTAGTAGTAGTAGTAGTAGTAGTAGTAGTAGTAGTAGTAGTAGTAGTAGTAGTAGTAGTAGTAGTAACAGCAGAAAAAAAGTGTTCGCTTCACTTGATGTTGTTATCTCAAGATAAGAAGGAAGTAACCTCGATGGCGAACGTTCCCAGTGATAATGAAGTTCGGCCTCCGCGCCCTCCGCCTATATTTGAAACCCTTCTAGGCCGACGATAAAAAATCGAACGACTTAAGGGGGGGTACTTTATTATCCGCGGCATTCGGTTACGGAGCCATCTACCCAGACAGCCAGGCCGCTCCATTTGTTTCGATGCGTGGGCCCTGGAGGTACGGACCACTTCCCTCAAAGGGACGCCAACAATACATCACCACCAGCCCTGACCAGGTCCATCCTGGGCCCTGGACTGGTGTATAAATCTCCAGGCCCAGGCCAGAAGGGTCTGTACACCAGTCCATGGCCCAGGATGGGCCTGGCCAGGGCTGGTGGTGGTGTACTGTTTAGAGCTCTCCTATTCCCTGGGGCCGGTTCTTCGTCCTGAGTCGTGTGTCGTTCCCGAGGCCCGGCGAGGGCCCCCGGAGGCAGAAAACAACAAAAAACGGCTGCTCCAATTTTTGGGGAGTGTCGGATCTATAGGTCCAGGAGGCCTCTGCACCAAATCAGAACCCTGAACCCTTCCGAGCGTATCACGGCGGGAGTGCCTCGCTGAGTGGTCGGCCCCTCGGGAGGACCGGGCCCCACAGGTGGGGCCGTCGGGGCACACCGCTCGGGGCGAAGAGGCGGTCCCCGGGAGAGGGGGCGCAGATCTCTGGGGGGCCCAGGAAGGGGAAAAAGCAGGGCGTCGGGGGTCTAAGCATCCCGCAGCGCAGTCATCAATTGGTCACCTCTCCGGGAACGGCTCCAAGCTGCCTGTAAAAGTCATCTGGCGGTTGT